TTCCTCCTTGCTTCCTCCCCCTTCGCTTCTCCATTATTCTTTTCTGCTATTCCCTCCTTGTTTCATCCAATTCCTCTTTCACTTTACCCTATCCCTCCTTCCTTACTTCCTTCTCTCCCTCCTTCCTTACTTCCGTCCCTCTTCATTTCCTCTCTTTTAACCTTACCTCTGTTGACCCTTCCTTACCTTAACTCCTTCTTTCTCTATCGTCATTATTCCCTCTCTTTACTCGTTCCCTTTGCTTTATTTCTCCCTTCTTCTCTCCTTCCCCTCCCTTCTAACCTCCCCTCTTTCCACCTATGTCCCTTCCTCTTTTAACAATCCCTCCCTTCGTCCTCTTTATCCCCTTCCTCCCTCACTCCTCCATTCCATCCTTCCCTCCTTCACCCTGTTTTTCCCTCACTCCATCCTTCCTTCCTCCAACCCTCCATTACAGCCCCTCCTTCGTAACTGCTCCCTTTAGTAATTTCCCTCATCTACCCTTACCCTCCTCCCTCCTCTTTCCCTCTCCCACCCCATCACCCCCCTCCCCTCTTTCCCCACCTTCCTCCTCCCCCCCCCCCTTCCCCCCCTCTTCCCCCTTTCCCTCCCCCCCCTTCCCCTCTTCCCCTCACCCCCACCTTCCCCCCACCCAATCACCCCCCCCCATCCTTCCCTCACCCCCCCCCTCCCGACCCTCCCAACCCCATCATCAACAGCGCCGCGGAGACAAGACAATGACGATAGCGATCCCCACAGAACACACGGATACCGAGGAGGAGGAGGAGGCAGTCTCGGCGAAGACAAACGTGGGTAATTTTTCACCAATCGCACCGGGAAGGGAGAGGGAACGCACAGAGCGGGTCAGTGTGTCGGGAAGTGGGGGGAAGTGGGGGGGAAGGGGGGAAGGCAAGGGGGAAGGGGGGAAGGGGGGAAGGGGGAAGGAGGAAGAATAGGGGGGGGATGATGGGGGAAGGGAGGAGGGGGAGAAGGGGAGGAAAGGGGGGTGATGGGGAAGGTAGGGGGGGGGAAGGGGTGAGGGGGAAGGGGAAGAATAGGGGGAGGGGGGGGAAGGGGGAAAGGGGGAAGGGTAGGAGGGAAGTGAAGGGGAGGGGAGAAGGAAGAAGGGGTGATGGGGTAAGGGGGAGGGAGAAGAAGAAGGAAGAGGGGAAGAGGGGGGAGAAGGGGGAGGAAGAAGGGGTGATGGAGTAAAAGGGAGGAGTGAGGGGGAGAAAGGAGGAGAAAGAGGAAATGAGGGATAGAGGGGAGAAGGGAGTGAGGAGTGAGCTTGGAAAGATAAGGAAGATGGGGAGTGAGAAAATACTGAGGAGAGGGAGTGATGAGGTAAGAGGGAAGGGAAAGGAGTGTAAAAGGAGTGGGGAGTGAGCTTGAAAAAGTAAAGAAGATGCGAAGGAGTGAAGAGAAAGGAAAGGAGGCGAAGGGGTAAAAAAGATGAGGGAGTGAGGAGGGAGTGAGGGAGTGAGGAGGGAGTGGGGAAGAAGGGAGTGAGGAAGGAGTGGGGAGTGAGGGTGAGGGTGTGAGGGGGAGTGGAGAAGGAGTAATTGGGAAGAGGAACTGAATATATTAGAAAGAGTAGGGAAGAGGTAGATAGAGAGTGAATAAGAAAGTAATTGGGAGACGTAACAAAAAAAAAAAAAAAAAAAGTAAAGAGAGCAAAGAGAGGGAATAAAAAGATAAAGAAGAATGAGGAAGGAGTAAAAAGAGGAAGAAGCAAATAGAATGAAGTCGGAAAGGAAGAGAGGATAGTAGAAAAGGAAATGCAAGAAGAGAATGAGGAGAGAGAAGAAAGACGAGAAGGAGTGGCTTGAGTTGAAGTGATTGAGGAGAGAATAGGGAGGGGGGGGGGGGGGGGGGACTCAATCCGCTAGCTGGAGAGGGGGGGAGGGAGGTCATACTGAGACCATCATACGAATGCTTGGTGATGTGTTGACCTATTTTTGACCTTGGCTTTTGATGACCTCAGATATGATAGAAAAAAAATCAAGTATGTCATTATATACGGTATATCTTCCATGTTTTTATCGCACTGTAAGTGAACTTTCGAATAAACTTGATATTGAGCTGGATAAAAGTTTGTTTAATAGCCGTTCTTTATATTTTCTTGGGTCGTTTAGAAGCGAATATCCAACAGAAATGCATTTAACATTTTAATTCTTTCTTATTTCTCTGCTCCCGACGTGACGTGAAGGAATGCAACGAGACTGACTAAGAAACTATGGTTTGTTCTTAGCAACTAGCAACATTGCAACACTTAACATTCAACTAAACTTCAAGACCTTGTGGCTGTTTTAATTTCAAGATATGCAATTTGTAAATTGGTCATGGATGATTACAGATTGATTGGTTGACGCTGACAATCATTTGATAATTAACAGGGTGATGTTAATTATTTTAGATACAATCTTGCGCAAAACATGTTGCATTCAACCGATTAGAACCAATTTCTAAAATGCATCCTCGACTTGCAATGAATGAGTAAGTGAATACGTGAATAAACATATAAACAAGTAAGAAATAAAATAAAGTAGAATAAAAGAAAAGTTCTCGTAACAACCACTTACTACAAAACAAGGTAGTTGTGACGAACGGAATCCTAAAAATCACAAACTTTCGCGTTGGTGGTATTATACAGCAGTCTGCACGCACGAAAAACATTTCTATGCGGTCTCTCGAAATGCAAGAAAACTGCTCAGCCTACATGGAATGATCTGGGAATGTGAAACTGTGGAGAGGACTTTGTACAAGAAATTCTGCTTTTACTGTCGTGGGAAAATAACTAAAGGTTTTCTGAACAGGCTCTGTGGACTGTGTGATGTCCGAACTGCACAGATGGTCATAAAATGCTTTTGCTGTACAAAGATGGGCCCTTTTGTTTGCTCTCTTTTCTCTTCAAATATCTCCAATTCCTCTTTTTGCTCTCTCTCTCTCTATCTATCTATCTATCTATCTATATACATCCCTCTCTCTCCTTGCCTCTCTCTCTCTCTCTCTCTCTCTCTCTCTCTCTCTCTCTCTCTCTCTCTCTCTCTCTCCTCTCTCTCTCTCTCTCTCTCTCTCTCTCTGTTTATGAACAATTTTCAGCACTACATACTAATCAAACTGAAGAAAATCTTACACCAAAAGAGCATGCAAACTACAATACCACAAAATAACACTATTTACATGATATGTAATTCCTACTTTAGTATACACTATATCCTTTAGAATCTAAATCTTTTTTTCCAACGAACTACCATGTTCAGTAACTACAATGTCCCCACTACATTTACACTCGCTACACCATATCAACACCACCACACACTACCCACTGATACCTGGTATAGAACAATATCCTCATTCTATAGACTACAACTTATCCCATTATTTTCCGATTATTATGTACACTACCATGTTCTACTCTCTCTCTCTCTCTCGCTAATTAGTACACTCACCTGAAGGCAAATGATCTACAGGTGAACCTCCTGGACCTCTTGCACTCCATTTCACACTCTCTGATGTCTCTCACGTCCAACCGGTCTCGTGGGAGCTCAACCGTCGTCTCGGTTTTGGCCAGGCGGAAGCACTCTGGGGAAAAGAAGTGGAAAGAAAGGCTATTTTTTTCTGTGGTTGGAGGAAAAAAGTTGTGTGGTTGGAGAAAAAAAAAAAGAAATAAAGGTTATTTTCTTGTGTGGTTGGAGAAAAAAAGTTGTGTGGTTGGAGAACAAGAAAAAAAGAAAAAAAGAAAAGGAAAAGAAATAAAGGTTATTTTCTTGTGTGGTTGGAGGAAAAAAAGTTGGAATCATTTTTTTTTTGTCTGGTTGGGGGGAAAAGTTGGAATAAAGGCTATTTTTGGTGTGGTTGAGGAAAAAAAGTGAAATAAAGGTTGTTTTCTTGTGTGGTTGGAGAACAAAAAAAGAAAAAAAGGGGAAATGAAGGTTATATTCTTGTTTGGTTGGAGAAAAAAGTGAAATAAAGGTTTTCTTTCAGGTTGGAGAGCAAAAAAAAAAAAAAAAAAAGTTTAAGTAATGGTTATTTTCTTTTGTGGTTGGATGAAAGAAAAAATTGGAATAGTTTTTTTTTTCTGTGGTTGGGGAAAAAAAGTTGGAATAAAGTTTAGTTTTTTTGTGTGGTTTGGGGATAATTGAAATAACGTTGGAATAAAGGTAATTTTTTTGTGTTGAAGGAAAAGAGTGAAATAAGGGTTATTAAAAAAAAAAAAAAAAAGCAATAAAGGTTATTTTCTTGTATGGTTGGAGGACAAAAAAGTTGGAATAAAGGTTTATTTCTTTGATATATGATTGTTTTCTGTTTTTTCTTACTTAGAGATGTTTGCTTTGGTTTTCCAATTATATACAAAAAAACTTTGATCTTTAGAAAAATTTTATTTATTTATTTATTTATTTATTTATTTTTAAAGATTTTCATGTTACTGTTTTGTTTGTCATTTCTACCCCTTTTCCTTTTCCTTTTCTATTTTCTCTGCTTCACAAATGATTTGGAAAGCACGTACCATTTGGATTTGTCATTGATAAAGAGATATTATGTTAGGTAGGCCTAAGATCACCTGAATTTTAATTTGCATAAAAAAAATATTACGCATATATATGTATATATGTACTGTATATGCTGAATGTATATCTATGGTTCTGTGAGCCTGTATAACCATGTATGTGTACATTGATTTGAATATATGTGTGTGTGAATGTGAAATTATGTATACGTGTGTATGTGAATATATATGTGCGTGTGAATACGTGTGTGCGTTAGTCTGAACGCATTTCTGCATATCTGAATGAGTGTTTTCATTCATGAGGATGCATATGTATGTGTACATATGTTGTATACATGCGGTAGTAAATTGTATATAGAAGACAGGTGTATTCTTATGTGTACAGTGTATGAATGCTAACATGAACTTATAACGTACCATCTCTGAAGCCATAGTTGTTGTTGCTGCCATAATTATTGTTGCCATAATTATTGTTGCCATAGTTATTGTGATTATGGTTGCCGTGGTCATAATTATTGTTGCCGTTGTTTCTGTCGAAAGGTAGGAAATTGGTAATATTATTATTATTATCGTTTTCGCTGTCATTATCATCATCAGTATCAATATCATTATCTTTTTCATTGTCGTTATTACTTGTGATGTTATTAACATTATGTTCATTATCATAATTGTAATTAGCATTTTCATTATCACTATCACCATCATCATTATTAATAATACTATCATTATCATTATTACTATCATTAGTATTATTATCATCTGTATCATTATTACTATCGTTATCATTATGATGATGATTATTGTTGTCACTATTTGTTATCATTATTATTTCAACTATCATTGTTATTATTATCCTTATCATTATTATTATCATTATTATCATTACTATCGTAATCATTATCAACATTATTATTATCATGATTTTATTATTGTTGTTGATTTGTTATTGTCATCGTTATCATTCCTATTGCCATTATCATCACTATTGTCATAATTATGCATGTGATAATTATCATTATGATAAATTCCATCACCATCAACACAACTCCACATTTTACATAACATTGTCCTCCTCATTATCATAATCATCATCACCACCACCACCATCACCACCATCTTCCACCGCCACTATCACCACCATCTTCCACCTTAATGAAAACGAAAAAAAAAACACCTCACCTGCAGTTCCTCGACTTTTCGTAAAAATCAAAGTCATCATCAGTCAAGAAATTATAACGGTTTCCTGCGCCTTCGCTACTCAATTCGCAGTTATCTCTGTATTGGTCGTAGCCGATGGTTTTGAATCTGAAGAGACAATGATCAATTAATGTCTGTTGGTGATTTAGGTATTTACAATATGTGTGTGGGAATACATGTAGGGAAATGTGTTTAATGATTTTATAGATTGTGGTTTTGAATCTGGGGAGACAATGATCAGTTAATGTCTGTTGGTAAATTTAGGTATATATATAGAAATACGTGTGGGAATATATGTAGGGAAATGTGTTTACTGATTTTATGGATCATGGTTTTGAATCTGGGGAGACAATGATTAGTTAATGTCTGTTGGGGATTTAGGTATACATGTACAAATACGTGAATATATGTAGGGAAATGTGTTTGATTATTTTATGGATTATGGTTTTGAATCTGGGGAGACTATGATTAGTTAATGCCTGTTGGGGATTTAGGTATATATATAGAAATACGTGTGGAAATACATGTAGGAAAATGTGTTTGATGATTTTATAGATTTTATAGGTTCTGTAGGAAAATGTGTTTGATTATTTTATGGATCGTGGTTTTGAATCTGAAAAGACAATGATCAGTTAATGTCTGTTGGTGGAATTGTATTATATATATATTAATATATATATATATATATTAATATATATATATATATATATATATATATATATATATAAATACGTGTGGAAATTCATGCAGGAAAATGTGTTTGATTATTGTATAGATTATGGTTGTTAATCTGAGAAGACCAATGTTGTGATTTAGGATTATATATTATAATATATAATATATAATATATATATATATATATATATATATATATATATATACGTGTGGAAATGCATGTAGGAAAATGTGTTTAATAGTTTTATGGATTATGGTTTTGAATCTGAGAAGGCAACGATTAATTTCTGTCTGTTGGTAAATTTAGGTATGCATGTTCAAAGACATTGAAATTGTGTTTAATAATTTTATGGATTATGGTTTTGAATCTGAAAAAGGAATGAGTATTTGCTTTTTGTTGGTAGTTTACGTAAACATACACATACACATTGAAACATACGTAGGTAAATATATTGATTGATTTTATAATCAAACATATAAATACATATAGAAACACACGCAGGCAAATTTACATACAAGTACTCATGCATTGACGCATAAACAAAAACATGCGCACATAAAAACACACCCACCCACATACATGGGCATACACACGTACACACACTTGTACATACACGCATACATACACATTCAGTTATATGATAATAGATAAATTAATGCCTGTCTATCTGTAGATGTACCTATCCATATATTAATATATCCATATGCTTTTATAAACAAATACTTCAATGATTTTTTCGTCTTCCTTATTTGCTTCTATGTTATAGGATTCGAATATATCATTAAACTGTATTATATCAGCTGCATAGATCTGTTGGAAGTTATTAAGAATCAGAATTTCGTCGCTTTGAAATAAAATATGAAGTAAACTCATATATAAATAACGATAGTCAGACGGTTGAATACAGAATGAAAAATAGATAGAAATAGATGAAAAATAGATAAAAAATAAATATCTAACTAGAATAGAATCATAACTGAAGAAGCATAAACATGAATGGAGAAGTATAAATTCGTGAACTCATAAATTACTGATTATAAATACCTGATAAAGGATTCAGAAACCCTTTAAAGCGACTGAATCATGAATAGAGAAATGAAGACTTGATCAGGTAATATATATATATTCATGAAGAACT